TACAACCCACATTTTTAAATTTTTATCATATTTAAAATTAAATAATATTAAAAAACTATTAATTAGATATTTTTTATTAATTAAATAATGAATAGAGTTTTAATATTAATCATTTTATTTTTTTTAAATTTTAAATTTATAATAATAAATGCATATTATATAGTAATTGATTTTAACAGTAAAGAAAAATATGAAAATTTTAAATGTGGTCAGTTGGATATTAATAGGAATGTAATTTACCCTCCTTGTAAATCATTTTTTGATGCAGGTAAAAGTGCATCAGAATATAACCCGGTGGAATATAATAATAATCAGTTTAATAATTCATTAATATTATATATTTTAGTAGATGAAAATGAAAAAAATGTATTTTTAAATGATGAATTTGTAGCATTTGGGGAGATTTATAATTATTGTTTTGTTGATTTTAAAATTGTAGATTCAGATTTTAAAGAATTAAATGAAACAATAATCACCCTAGATGGGAGTAAAATAAATCAACCTTTTATTCATACTCAAGAACCAACAATAAATTATCAATGTAACAATAATAATAATATTAGCAGTATTATTAAAAATAATAATAATTATAACGAAAATATAGTATTTTCCATATATAATCTACAACTAGTCAATTGGTACACAAAACCCATGTTCGAACTAAAGGTTTTTATAGACTCACCTTATGGATTCAATAGAACATATATATTTAGAAATTGTATTTTTAAAAATTCAGATGCAGTCATAGCAACAGCCATATCCTACAAAAATAGTAAAGAAATCAATTTAAGAAAACATATAATATTCCACTCTTGTATATTTGATAATTTAATCAAAAGCAGCCATAATTCCATGATATTCGATAAAAGTCCAATTGGTTCTTGTTGGAGCAATATGTATTTCTATGATTGTATTTTCAGAAATACCATAATCAAAGACGAACCATTAATAAGTTCATATCTAATAGAAAAACTGGTAATGGAAAGAACTGTTATAGAAAACAATTATTTAGGTGTCAGCTTTTATAGAGTATTTCACAACAATGTAGACATTAACATGAACCATTTAAAAATTCAATACAACCAAATTAACAACTTTTTACATTTTGGGAATATAGATAAAGCAATACAAACCTTCAGTTTTCAGTTTAAAGATTCATCAATAGAGAACAATCAATTATTAAAAAATAAAAGCATTCAATATTTATTCGATTTGGATTTCGAAATTAGAACTCATTTTGAACATGTACATTATGTGGCAGATAATACTTTAGTATCTTTTATAGAAAGCACCTTTAGAAATAATATAATAGAAAATAATAAAAATAATATTGTAGGTCTAATTTCAATAAACTCAAAATATTGCAAACTATTTTTCAGTAATTTAATAGTAGAAAAAGAATTTAATCAATTTCTAAACTCCACCACACCCTATTCAATATCGCTATCAAACAATACCATCGAATCTAAAGACTCTATCATTTCAGAAAATACCAAAGTAATTTTATATAATAACTCGATACTAAACCAAATGAAACTAATTAATAGTACAATTATAAATCTCAATAGTCAAGAGGAACCTAATGAAAATGGCAACAATGGAATTAATAATAAAAATAAACTTATAATTGCAATAATAATACCAATAATATCAACAGTCATAATAGTGGTAATAGCAATACTATTATATAAAAGAACCAGTTTATTTAAAAATAAAACAAGCAATAGCAAAAATAATAACACATTTATAAATAAAAATAAAGATAATGATATGAATAACGAAATAGAGCTACAAGATAATGATGAAAAGGCAAATGTTGACCATGGCAGTATACCAATAGATGAAAACGAAGGAAAAGACATAAATAATAAAAAAAAGAAATCATTAAATGAAAATGAAGCACAATTAGACAATTAAATAAAATAAAAATAAAAATATATGTATTGTATATTTTATAATATCAAATAAAATAATTTTATTTATTTGTTTTTATTTTTTATTTTATTTATTTATTTCAATTATTTCTTGAGCAATTTTTAATATTTTTATTGATTTTGGTGTTATTAAAGTTAAATTCATATACTTGTTTTTCATTTCTGGGTTGTAAAAAATTAATGTTTCTAATGAATCTAAATTCTCTAAATTTATTGACCTTGTGAATGATATTCCAAATATTAGTGTCTTGATATTTTTAGGAAATATATCTTGTTTGGTTATTTGATTGTAAGAGTTACCAAGATATAAATACTCTGTTTCTTTTGGTATGGATTCTATGAAAAGTTTTTGATTGTATGAATTACCCAAAGAGAGATGTTTAATTGATGGTGGAAGTGAATTGGGTTTGATAGGTTTATTATAATAATTTCCAAACTCTAACATGGTTAATCTATAGGGTTTTTGAAAGCTTTCAAATGATACCGTAAATTTTGAAAAATCACAGAAAATGAGCTCTTCGACTGATGATGGAATTGAATCATTTTCTAATATTAAATTTTTATCTATTGTTAACCTTTTTACTGAATTTGGTATTACATTTGGTATTATTGAATTATCTTTAATATCCCTATATAGTATTAAATTTTTCACAGTTTTTGGTATTAACCCTTCATACAAATATTTAATTTCATCATTATTATTAATATTATTTATACTTGATAAATTTGGTGATATATTGGTTTTATTTGTATTTTCATTATTGTTATTATTACTAATTATATTTTTATTATTTTCTAAAAAATCGGGTAAATCTAAAAAATATTCATTAATTGTACTTGAACCTCTAATTTCTAAATCTTCAAGGTAATCTCTGTAACGAAAATATAATAAAGATTTAATATTAAAGAATTGATGCTTTCTTTTAATATAATCGATTGCATTTAAACTCTTAATATGCTGAAATATAATATTTTTTAAATAAATATTTCTAATTATTCTAATAAACAAATGAAGTTCATTATTATTATTACAATTTATATTATCTATATTGTTATTTTTATTATTTATATTAGTTTTATTTTCCATTTAATAAAATGAAGTATTTTTTTATTTTTTTTTTTAAAATTAAAAAAAAAATAAAAAATTTTAAATAATTTTTTAAAAAATTTTATTTTTAATTACCCCTTTTTTATTTAAACAAAATAAATTAACAAAAGAATAAAGTATGAATGAATGAGGTTAAAAGAATAGATAGATAATTATTTTTTAAAATGTAATAAAATTAATTTAAAATTTTATTATTTGTTTATTATATATATTAATTAAATTTTTTTTTAAAATACACAAATTATATAATTAATATATTCGTTATTTATATTATAGTTAAATTATTTAATAAGCTGAAATTTTATCAACATAGAGTGTACCTTGTTCATCACCTTTAATGTCTTGAATCCAGATACCGTCAACTTTACCAGTTGCACCGAAATCAGAGAATGAAGCAGTGACTTGGGTCCATTGGTTGGCTGGGATACTTGAACCGATAATATCGCTTAAAAGTTTAGAACCAACAGCTTTACTATCTTTTACAATGGTCAATTTAACATTTTGGTTACCGGATGAACCACCATTAACAGAAAGTTGAAGTTTAGTGTATTTGTCAGTGTCAATGCATTGGTTGCATCCAAAGAAAATAGCGCCATATTCTTTTGGTGTGAAGGATACAGAAGCTGTGGCACCATCATCAAGTTGTTCAGTTGATTTTAATGAATGAACACCCCATGACCAGTCTTGGAAATTGGATTGTAAACCGCTATTATAGATTGAAAGTGAATCGGATGGATTTGGAGTTTCAGATGGAGTACTTGTTGGAGTAGCAGTTGGGGTTTCAGTTTCAGTTGGAGTGCCAGTTGGAGTAGCAGTTGGAGTTTCAGTTTCTGTTGGAGTACTTGTTGGAGTATCAGTTGGAGTTTCAGTTTCTGTTGGAGTACTTGTTGGAGTGGCTGTTGGGGTTTCTGTTTCTGTTGGAGTACTTGTTGGAGTGGTAGTTGGAGCTGGGGTTGAGCTTGGATCTACGAGTGAAGCAAGAGCACCAACAAAACCAGCGTTATAATCAGTAGCAACTTCATTTGAAATGTAATTGGTTCTATCATCAGAGAATGAATCATCAGATTCTGGACCACCGACTAAAGCACCTTTTAAGAGATATAAATTGTTAACTGGGTTATTAATATCATTGGTAGTAGAGTGATGGGCAGCACGATGATGTGGATTAATTGGATAGTTTGGACCAATACCAACAACAAAAGATTGTGACTTTGGATTATTACCTAAGAGATAACCAATTTGTGCAGCAGTAAAGGTAGTACCATCAGTTGAACCTGACATGGAAGCAAGGAAAGCAGCAGTGGCAGCATAACGAGCTGGACCCCATTGTCTAATCCAAGCTAAACCACCTGGAGTATAAGTAATACCACCTCCTGGTAACCAATATTTTAACCAACTGTTGAAATCGTTGGCATAGGTTGAAGTAGATGGATCTAATTGTGATAATAAAAGAGAACAACCTGGAGCTTTAAGATCCCAATCGTGTGAATTGCCTTGAGCCATACCACCAATACCATAGGTAGCGTAATCGGCTTTAGCTTTGGTTAAGTATGAAGCATCACCAGTGGCTTTGTATAACCAGATACTACCCCATACAAGTTCATCTTTATAACCTGACCATGAATTGTAAAAAGCTTGTGCATTGGTTACAACATCAGAGTAGGAACCACGATATGTATAACCAAAGTTATGAAGAGTTTTAGCGTGACTTAAACAAGTGGCGGCATAGGCTGGATCTGAATCAGCAAAAGCTAATGAAGCAGCAGCAAGGGCAGAAGCGGCTTCCATTGCTACTTCAGTACCTGGTTGATCAGCGGTGATCATATATACTGGACGGTTCATTGTCATCATTTCTGGTGGACCCCAGAAAGAATGATCAAGATTACCATCACCAACTTGGGCAGCAAATTCGTTATCGGCAGTATGTGCATTTATAATCCAATCGGTACCATATTTAATTGTATCCAAGTATAAGTTGGTTAAACCACATTTGGCAATGTTATCTTTATATTGATTGAAAGACCAACCCAACATAGTCATAGAGTATGTCATTGGAAGAGCAAATTTGACACCATCACCAGCATCAAAGTAACCACCACTTAAATTACCATCACCATTGGCATCTTTTTGTGAATTGGGTGATGCATCATTTAAAGCGGAATTACCTCTCCATGGAATATCGTTATCTGGCAAACGACCAGCTCTATTCATTTTATAAAACATTAATGCATTTTCTAATACCATGCAATAATCTTGTTCTGCGCCTATAATAATTGTAAAAATAAAATAAATATTAATATTTAATTTTTTTTTTTTTTATTTTAAAATTAAAACTACTTACAAAATATTGTACTGGTTAATAAACCAAGTATTATAAATAAAGGTAACAATAATCTCATTATTATTTTACTTATATTCTATGTTTTAAATTTATTATAAAAGTTTTTAATATTATTATTATTATTTAAAAAAAGTTTTTGGTACATATAAAAAAAAAAAAAATTATTTAAATATTTTTTTTCTTTTACTAAAAATTTATCTATTTATTATTTATTATTTATTTATTTATTTTGATTATTTGTTATTACAACTATAAAAAATAACGATTGAAAAAAAAAAAACCTATATTCTGGTAATAGATATTAATTTTTTTTTTTTTAATTTTAAAAAAATATATACACAAATAAAATCTATAAAGTATATTTATGTATAAATAATTTTTTTTAAATTATTTTATTTTCTATTAAATTACACAAAAGAGATTTGAAAATGTTTTGATAAGTTTTTTTTCAGGTGCATTTTATAGATTTTCAAATCTGTAAAAAAAAAAAAAAAAAAAAAAAAAAATAAAATTAAATTAAAAAAAATTATTAATTAGGAATTTGTGTTTTAATGATTTTTTTTAATTTTTATAATTTAAATAATTTAATTATTTTCGTCTTATTTTGAATCTTTTTGGTTTAACTTATTCTTTTTTTAAAAATTATTTTAAATTAAAAAAAATCTTTTAATCTGAAAAAATTTTTTAAAATTAAAAATAACCAACTTCATATGAAATATTAAAAAAATAGTTAAAAAAAAAAAATTAAAAAGCTAACTGAATTTTTTGAAATGTCGTTTGTTGACACATTTTGATTTCATTATATTTTTTATGAAAATATCATTCTTTGGAAAAACCATTGAGATCCTATTTTAAAATATAGTCATTTATATCCAAGATTTTATATGAAACATTTTTTCACTTTCGTTATTTGAATTTTAGTTTATAATAACTTTCGAAATGATTATGTTTTAATTAAAAGAATGATAACTTTTGATTTTTAATATTCTTTTAAAAACATTAAATTAAAAGTTATTTTAAATCAATTATAATAAAACCCTTTTTTTTTTTTTTTTTTATTTTTTTTTTTTTTTATTTTATTTTTCAGAGGTTAGTACTTTTGAAAAATAACTTAAATTCAAATAATTATTTTTCGAAGTTTAAAAACTTGACCAATGAAAATTAATATCATGTTTTTAATAATTTTTTTTTTTTTTTTTTTTTTTTAATATATTCTAACTGAAATATATTTTTTATAATAAACAAGAGGCTTTATTATAATAATTGATTAATGATATGTTTTATTAATTTTTTAAAAATGTGGTTATTAAATTATTTGAAATTATATTTATATTTTTTATAAAAATAAAATATTATATTAATATTTTTATAAAAAAATTATTTTATTTTATTTTTTTATTTTTTATTTTTATTTTTTATTTTAATTAATTATTAAAAATTTAAAATTTTTTTATTTATTATTTTTATTATTATTTATTTATTTATTTTGGTATTAACTTTATTTATTTATTTTTTTTTATTTTATTTTTTTTTTTTTTTTTTTTTTAAAAATTGAATTTAATTATTCCAATAGAGTAAATTAACAGAAGTGTTATTAAAACTGACCTTATAATAATCTGGTTTACTATCATTACTATAGTAAAGGTTGATAATATTAATTTCTTTTGGTTTATAAACTCTTTTTTTTGAAATTAATTCTTTTACTTGGGTACAGTTCTCAAAATTGGTCCAAATTGAAACGGAATAGACGTCATATTTGTACTTTGGGTCACTTAAAATTTGTAATGAGGTTTCTAAATCTTCTAAATTTGAAACCTTTAACATTATATTTCTAATATTTCTATTTCGACTTAAAACATTTTTGATAATTGGTAATAAATGTTTGAAATCGAATCTTAGATCTTTTATACTTCTAGCTTCAACAAAACCTTGAATTAAATCTTGATTTAACTCTTCATGGGGTATATTTAGGTCCACTGATACTAAAAAAGGATTGGAAAGAATTGATTCAATACCTTTATAAACCAAAGGTAAATCTAAACCTTGATAATTTCCATTGCAAATCATACATTTAAAAGATTCGTGACAAAGGTGTGTAATTGCCAATTTTTTTAATGTAGCTTCATTTGATAGCTTCCTAACAACAATTTGCCAGTCTTTATCAGAATTTCTGTTATATACTTGTTGAGAATCGGCACCTTCTTGATTGGTATCAGAGTAATTAGAGCCTCTCTCTATGAGAATTCTTTTTGAGTTTATATTGCTAACCATTGTTTCAACATTGGAGTCAAAGGTTAAACTATTTAAACTACTCAAAACTGTCAATCTTTCTGTATTATTGCCTAAAAGACTTGGTGAGAATACTAAATCATCAATACTGATTTTGTTTGAATTGTATTCTAAATCGATGCAAATTGAAAATGAAAATTGTGGTTTTATTTGTTTGTATGAGATGTTTTTAATATTTGATTTTAAAGCATAATATAATTTTTCTGGACCTAGGTATTCTAATGATAACTTTTTTATTTTTGAGTTTGGATCTTCGTTATTAAAACCAAATAAACCATTTTCATCAATTAATGACTCTTCACTATCATCTATTAATAATGAAACTTCAATATTTTCTGGTAGATTCTGATAATTTTGTAAAATAGTTCTTGCATCACCAGCCATAATATTCTCTAAAATTATCATTTTATATTGGTATGGTTGAAGCTCTTGTAAATCTGAATAATATCTTACAATTTTAACTAGATCTTGAGGTTTAACCAATCCATGCTCTTTTCCACTTAAATGTTGAACTAATTGGACATTTGCTTCATCATTACTGCGTTCTTTAATTTCACTTGATACATTTCCAAAGATTTTTTTTGAGATTAATGAATACTTTACAAGTTCATCTGCTTTGAGATTGGTTGCTATTGATCCATTGTATATTTGATTTGAAATAACATGCGAAATATTATATGATAATATATATTCTATTAAATAATTTGGGAGTGTCATTATTATTTTAATATATAATTAATTTATTTAATAAAAATTATGAAAAAATAAAAAAAAAAATTTTTTTGATTAATATCAAAGATATTTATTTTAATATTTTTTTTTAAAAATTAATAAATATATATTTTTTTAATAATATAATTTTTTTTATATTATAATTTTCCTTTTTTTTTTTAATTTTGTTTCTGTGAATGTAGCTTGGTTTGAGATATGAAACAAAAAAAAGATTTTTATATATTAAAAAATAAAGACATATAAATTATAAAACCAAAATTAAAGACTCTTTTGAAAAAAAGTAAATTAAAACCTTTATACAAATATTATTGTGTACACCTTTATTATATTAATTTTAAAAAATTAAATTAAATATATGAAAAAAATTAAAAAAAAAGAGGAGACACATTTCTTTTTTTTATTTGAAAAAAAAAAGAAAATTACCAAAGAAGATCTTTTTGAATATTTGTCGATTACTTTAATGTTAGATTTGGGTGTTTTTAAATTTATTTACAAGTTTGGTTGGCAATAATTTCAGATTCCTCAAATAGCAACATTAACATTGCTCAAAGATACATTAAAATATGATAAAAGTTGGATATCTATTGAACTTGATGGTTATTATAAGTCTATAAAATTGATGAAAGAGACGAAAAGGTTCCCTACTTTTAAATCAATTGCAACAAAACATAAAAAATGTAAAATTAAAAGTAGTTTTTTACAGTTTCAATTTTCTTTGGGTCTGTTAATTTGAACCCAGTCAGAACGGAGCATGTAGATTCTTAAGAATCTTGTAAGAACAGAACTCGTAAATTCAAAAAGGAACATGTAAACTCTTAAGAACCTTGTCTGAACGGAACATGTAAAGAGATTTTGTTAAAGCTTTAGATTTTCTATTATAGAAAATTAAATTAATATTTTTTAATTACAATCAAAATTAATTTTAAAATTTTATTTACCATTTATGTTTGAATGTTTCTAATAATAATTTTATTTAAAATGTTACATTTAATAAAATTTATAAAGATTTTTTATCCTTATCTCTTAAGAAAGAAGGAAAAAAAAAAAAAAAAAAAAAAAAAAATTAATTTAAAAAAAAAAAAAAAATTAAAAAAAAAAACAATTCAATGAACTAAAAATTTTTATAAAAATTTCCGGGGTTCCGTTTAAAAATTTTACAATAAAAAAAATTTTACAATAAAAAAAAAAAAATTTGAATTTTTTTTGCAAAAAAAAAAAAAAAAAAAAAATTTGAATTTTTTTTTGAAAATATAAAAAAAAAAAATTTTTGGTTTTTTTTTCTATTTTTTTATTTTTATTTTACACACACAAATATTATTACTATTATTATTAGTCAATTTTTTCAAAAGGTCAACTATCCTTTTTATTTATCTTTTTTATTAATTATGGAAGTAAAATTTGATGATATATTTAAATCAAAATATATCTATCACTTTGTTACTAGGAAAAGAAAGAGAATAAAAGGGACAGTCGATATTAATTGATCCAAGAAAACACCCCCAATCCTATGCTTTTAAAAGTCCTGAAGAATTCCATAGTTCTAATAAGGTAACTGAAGAAAGTATTTCATGGTATTAGAGATTGAATTTGATATAATCATTAGTCATTATCACTCACCATTCAATCTATTGTAAGTATAAAAATATTTTTTAATTTTTTTATTAATATTAATATTAATATTTTTTTATCTCTTTATTTATTTATTTATTTAGATACCAAACATAAAATAGAATTACGTCAAAAGTTTTCGAAAAGCAAATTAAAATTGAATTCAAAAAATATAGATAAGCTAGCTAGTGTACCTATATGTAAGCCAGATGTTCGAATAGATAAATGTGGCAAAATTACCAAAGTTAATATCAGACAATGTTATAATAAATTTAGTCCAAATTGTTATAGGAATAAATAGTGGGAAATAAAAATATTGCCTATTTTAAAATACACTCTTAAAAAAAAAAAATTTGTGCTTTTATTGTGTTTTTTAAATAAACCATCAATAAATTTTTAATTCTATAAAACTTCTACATTTTTATTTATCAAAATTTATTAATATATATAAAAATATAAGAATAAAAATATAAGTTAATAAATAATTACAATAATAAATAATTACTTTAATAAATAATTACATTAATAAATATATTAAAATTTTTTAATATTAATAACAAAATATAATCAATGAAAGTAACAAATAAAAGATTTATCACAAGAAGGAATTCAATAGAGGATATTGACAAAAGCTTTCAACTTCACCAGAAACAAAACAAATGGCCAGGTTGTTAAAAAATGAAATTGAAGATGAAATTGAAGATGAAATTGAAGATGACAATACAATTGAAATAGAAAATCAAAGTCAAGATGAAATTCCTGATCAAATTGGCAAAGAATTGGTTGTTTTGAATGGTAATAAAAAAAGGGTGAAAAAATGACACTTGGGCACATGATATTTACAAAATCTTCAAAAATAATAAGCTATTAATTGCTGAAGAATTATCAAAAGTCACCTCAAATGTATCACTAATCATTGATTTATGGTCTTCCCCACATGGAAAAAAAAAGTTTATGGGTTAAGTGCCAATACTTAACGAGTGATTTAAAAGTAATTGTTATATTAATTGCAATGACCAAGTTTTCAGAAAACAAAATTAAAAAAGTTATGGAAGATTATGGATTATCAAATAAGGTTATTTCAATTTCATTAGATAATGCTTCAAATGGTATCGGTACTGTCAAAATGCTATGTGATGAAAAAATTATAGAGTCGTCCTTTAATAACTCTGCCAGTAGATGTTTCGCCCACATCTTAAATTTATGTTTTGTTTCTTTTGTAAAAGATAAAAAAAAACCATCAAATATCACCATAGAACAATCTAATTAAAGACAAAAAAGAGACACCTATATATATTTCAAAGTATTTGGAAATCCAAAGGTATTTAAAAGAAAGTGTGGACAAAAGAAATGATACCACTTCATATGATTTGGAAAGAAAAAAAAGCTATATATCCAACACTGTATTCTATAGTAAGAAATGTTTTTTCAGTTGTTTCTTCATCTGTGGAAATAGAGAGAACCTTTTCTGGTGCCAAATTGTTGATTACCGATAATCGTTCCAAATTGGGGTGGGAAAGGATTGAGCAATGCGTACTTTTAAGAGAATGGGCAAAGTCAGGCCTCCATCACAGAAGAAAGCTGCTGCTACACCTCCATCTGCCACTAGAGTTATTAGGCACCAGCACTGACTTATTAACAAACTTTAAGTTAAAGGAACAAGAACTTAAGATGATGGAGCTAATGAATAATCAAATGCAAATTTTGAAAGAATTAAGTTTCCAACCACACCGTGTTCCATTCCCAGAAGAATCAAAATTTGACGGAACTAATAGAGCCGAGTTTGACAAAAATTGGGATTTGTTTGAATTCCTATTCAGACATCATTTTGTTAAACCAACTAGTGCTAATTTGCTTTCAAGTCTTCGTGGTAGTGCAATCGATAGATTAAGAACTATTGATCCACTCAATACTAAATCGGTTGAAGAAAACATCATGGCCTTAAGAACTTACTATCAAGATAGCCCAAGCATCATCCTTGATAGATTCTCTACCTATTCTAGAAAACAAATTCAAGTCACTTGAAACTTGTTACTTGTATTTGACATTGTTAAAAGAAGGAGTCAACTACCTGATGACGCTGCTATTTCTTTCTTAGGTCAGGCACTTGGTTGTAATTTGAAAGAATATTTAAGCTTGCGATGCAGAAAAGGCATCACTTACGATGAATACCTCGATGAAGTTAGACATCTCGAAATTGCGTATACCGAATCCAAGGTTTCAAGGGTAGATATTGTTAATAATTCTGTCTATAATGAATATAATAATATATCTAAAATTAAATAAAAATAATATATAAAAAATAACTTAAAAAATTTTTCAATCAATATTTTTTATGAATTTTTTAAATTTTTCCTCTATTTTTAGTTTTTTTTTTGATTTTTTATAGCACTCATAGTTTTAAAAAGGTAGAAATAGGTGCGCTGTGGGGGGTGCGGTTGGCAGGACTATTTTTTTTTTTTTAATTATATTCCCATGGTTGTTATTACTATTATTATTATTAAAATTTTTAATTGAACAGATTTGTTTTAAAAAACTAATATTATTATAATTATTTTTTAGAATATTGTTTTTTTTAAGGAATGATGACGATATCATTTATTATAAATATTATTATTATATTAAATAATATATTATATATATTGACTATATATAGATATAGATATATATTTTATTTAAACTATTAAATCAAATTATAAAGTGAAAAAATGAAAAAATGAAAAAAATTTAAAAAAAAAAAAAAAAAAAAAAAAAATATTTTTTTTTAAATTTTATTTTTTATTTTTTCACAATCAATAATCATTTTCAAAAAATGTATTTATATTTGTATATTTTTTATCTGTATTCAGCTCAATAACTTTATCAATTTTTTTTTTTTTTGATTTTTTTATTTTTGCCTTTTTTTAATTAAATTTATACAATATACATGAAAAAAATGAAATTTTGGATTTAGATTTTTAAAAATTTGGATTTTTATTGTTTAATTTTTTTAAAAAAATCAATTAAATAAAATAATTAAGTAAATTTAAAAAATAATAAAATAAAAACCAATAAAAAAAATTTTATAAATTAATTTACATAAAAAAAGAAAAAAATATGTAATAAATTTTTAATCTTTATTTTATTAATGTATTATCTTATATATAACTAACTCTTTATGAAATATAAAAATGAAATCTGAATTGATAATAATTAAATTGAACATACTAATTGTTGTTTTTTAATTTAATTATTATAATTGATGGTGAAATAATATATAATATAAAAATACCTGTGAAATCTTTTGATTGGTAGGGATAAGGGCTAAACTTTCACCTTCTGACTTGGTGAGTTCTTCTTTAAACAGATATTAATGGTCTACCAGTACACGTACTATAATGGAGCTACGATTATTTTATTCATCTAAAATATTTTGATGGTATACCAATTTGCTTGGCCAGAACAAAGTCGGTATGCTCAAAAGTCAATTAGATTGAATTGTATCATAATTTGATATTAATGATTGATTAT